TAGAAACCCTTATTATGACTTGTGGAAATATTCTTAGTCTCGACATCAGTCATTGTAATAAAAATCACTTTGGATACAGTTTGTTTAGCACTTATGTTGCAGATAGTTTTTCTTCAGCATGTTCTGCAATATGTCTAGGTATGACCTCGACCTTTCTGAGGCCTTATAGCTTGGTGTCTTTGCCTGACTCATATGTTGTGGGGCCTGCCCCTCTCTGTTCTGCCTCTTTGTCCCTGCCCTGCTCATGTTATGGCAATTAGGTCATAGAAGAAAAAGCCATACTCTGGTTCTCTGGGCAGGAAGAGTCATTTCTCTTCCATCTCAACCTTGTGTTTATAAGCCAGCTCAGTGCATTCGCATAGCTATCAGTCCGTTAAACTTGTTTCTGGTCAACTTTACTTTGATCCAGTTCTCCACCAGTTTCCTGGCCCTGGGACAAGTCTTTCCTTTGGCATGTTAAGCCAACTTAGAAACCTTTGAGTTGGATTTCAAGTCTCTAGCCCAATGTCCCATGAGGGCTTTAACTTGGATTGAAGTTGGGTGCCCCCAACTCTTGTTCTGCTTGAGGATGTGATTCCCTTCTAAGCAAGTCCTTGAGGCAAAAGCAAGTCCTTGGCACTGAAAGTTCCTCTGCTGTCTTCTTGGGGATTTGGACACTCTCATATTAAGATCCAAGCTTATGATGGATACTGCACTGGGCAGAATCAGGGGCCCTACAAGTTAACATTTACAACTCTTAAATTGTTAAAATTCTGATTTGACATTGTTAAAGAGCTTTCCTGGCTGCAATGGCTGACCCTTTCATCATTTGATCCTCCAGTGTATGTTTAAAAAAAAAGATTAACAGAGAAAATCAGAAAAAGAAACTGGTAAGCTCTAAAGAATCTATTTTTAAAAATTCCATTCCTTGTCAAGTTTCCAGTTTTAAAGAGAAAAGAAAAAAATGAAATGTACAACTTAGATAATATCAGGTGAACTCTGTTCTGCGCAGCTTGCCTCTTTATTGAAACCTTCTGTGGTATCATAAGAAACTCACTGAAATATCTGTTAATGAAAAGCTGGATAACAAGAAAGAAGTAATAAGGAGATTTTTATCTCTTTGGCAGTCCTTTAATAAAAGAAAATGAAAGGAAAGTGAGTTCATTTTAATTGATGAAAGAAACATGGATTTCATCAAGTTAGATAGGCAAATAAACACTGCTGGGGCAAAGAGCATTCCTCTGTGCTTCTTGGTAAGTGGTGTTGAGCATTGCTCCATTGGAACATGAATTAAGTTTATTGTAATTGTCTGTTTTCATATTTGGTTTTCCTAGGATTACCACCATTTCTTATTTATAAGGGATTATTTCCAGTAATAAGCACAGTGCCTGACACAGTACTGGTACTCAATAAAATAATTTTGAGTGGACGAATAAGAGACAATACATGATCCCTTCCTGAAGGACTTTATTATCTACTTGGGAAGAGAGACACAAACACTCACAAAAATAAATTATCCTTCCTGTTATTTTATGCATTGCTAAATTTTCACTGTTATCATCATTTTAATCACCACTAGTTTTGTGGTCTCTGTAACAAGCCCTAGAGGTGGTCAAAGATGTTCTTTGTACCCTGGACTGTGTCCAGTTTTCCTAATACTCCAGCCTCAGACTTTCCTCCCAGCTCTGCCTGGTGTTCTCATCTTCCTCAATAGTTGATTAACCCTGATTCATCCTTCATGTCCCAGCAGAAAAGTCATTTTCTCCTGGGGGTCCTCTGTGATTGCCTGGGCTAAGTTATATGGCTCTGCTGCATGTTCCAGTGCCACATTCATTGCACTTATGATCAATCTTCCTGGATGTTTCCCCTAACAGAGTGAGCCCCAAGAGGGCAGGGGCAGCCTCCATCTTGTTCAACTCTTCCCCAAGGCTCAGCATAGCAGGTGTTCCACAAATGTTTGTATAATGAACACATACCCTCTCATTAAGATCATCTTGAGATAGGTAAGAAGTTCTGTAGAATGGAGCTAGCTCTGGAACTGATGGGGAGAGGAAGATTGGAGTAGAAGAGAATGTGCTCAAGGTGTGTGGTCCATGGGCCAGCAGTACTAGCATGACCTGGAGCTTGTTAGAAATGCAGTTTCACTGACCCCAGACCTGGGTGATTTGTAACAATTTCAAGTTTGAGAAGCACTGCTTTTAGAGGTTTCATCTAACCACACGATGCTGAGAGAGATGAAGCTTGGGAGTTACTCTACAGAGGAGAAGTAGAACCATGAACAGGCCTGGACAATTGCCTGGATGTGGGAACAAGGGTGGACTCAGAGACCCTCTCGAGGCTACTATTTCTCTTATGACCAAGACTTGAGTTCTAATTCAACCCACTTTTGACCTCATAGAGTATAAGGTAGCTGATTACCTTTATCTAAGGAAAATGCTGTTTGTCAGTCAGTTTTCTCTATGGACACCATAGAACTGCACTTTCTCTCCTGGCCTATTTGTCAGCTGGACATTTTGAGACAGGATAGTCAGCATGCATTGGACTCAAAGCTTTAGATGCCCATGCTCCTGGCTGACTTTGCATTGCTGGAGCCAAGCAGAAGAGATTCTAAGCAAATCTTACAAGTATTTCCACCTACCCCACCTCACCCTGTTGAATATACGATTCACTTAGAGGTTAGGTGAGGAGACAGAGTGTCCACAGCTAAGGAGCCTGCAGCTTCAGGGCCCTGTTAATGGAGGTAGATGGGTAGGGCTTATCAAGGAGGAGGCCAGCATAGGCTGTCTGAAGGGTGAGGCAGTGGGGACATGGGCTCATGGTTTAGGCCCAGGAGCTGTTTTATAAGAAAGCAGGAGAGAAAGAAGTTTATAATCCAAGTCAGGGCTGGACCAGGACTATCTCTGCCACCAGTAACTTCTCAGTCACAGAAATGCACAAACCCTCTTCTAGTCTGAGGACAGCTGAAGCTCAGGATACTTTGGTAACAGATGGATACATGGACTGGTGTGGGATAAGATGGAGGTTTGCTTCAGGCTCTCAGCAATTCACCAGACCTGGAGCCAGTCCCCAACGCAGCTCCCTAACCTGAACAGAATCACTTTATACAATTGTTTCTTGAAAAGTCACCCTACATTGCTTCTTTCCACTTTTTGTTCTCAGAAATGGCTTTCCTAGTGCTCTTAATAAATATACCTCTGTTTTACTTGGAGCCACCTCAGCTTAAAGACCTGTGATCTTTTCCTCCCCATTTTCTTAAATTTGTTTCTAAGTATTTTATTTATTTTGATGCTATTATAAATGGAATTTTTGAATTTTATTTTCTAATATTTTGGTAATAGTATAAAGGATTACAATTGAATTTTCTATCTTGATCCTGTGTTAAACAGTGTTTCTGAATATACTTTTTAAATTATAATAATATATTTTTCCAATTATGGTTTGCATTCAATATTATTTTGTATTAGTTTCGGGTGTACAGCACAGTGGTTAAACAATCATATACTTTACAAAGTGTTCCCTCGATATTTCTAGTACCCACCTGACACCATGCATATTTATTACAATATTATTAACTATATTCTCTATGCTGTACTTTTATCCCAGTGACTATTTGTAACTGCAAATCTATACTTCTCAATCCCATCACCTTTTTCACTCGTCCCCTCAATCTTCTCCCTTCTGGCAACTACCAATCTATTCTCTGTATCCATGAATCTGTTTGTTTTGTTTATTCATTTATATTGTTCTTTAGATTCCACATGTAAGTGAAATCATATGGTGTTTGTCTTTCTCTGACTGACTTATTTTACTTAGCATAATACCCTCTAGGTCCATCCATCCTGATGCAAGTGGTAAGATGTCATTCTTTTTTATGGCCAAGTGATATTCCATTGTATATATGTACCACCACTTCTTTATTCATTTGTTTATTGATGGGCATTTGGGTTGTTTCCATAGCTCTGCTATTGTAAATAATGCTGCAATGAACATAGTGCATATATTCTTTAGAATTAGTAAACACCTGTAATCTTGTTTGGCAAAACTAAGAA